ACTGCACCAGTTGGCACTTAAGCTTACCAGAAAGGCTTCCAGAAGCTGTTTTTGCTGGCAAAAATGGGGCTCACATGGACCGAACCCTCTCGCTGTTCCAGAAACCTCTGGGATGTAGAACTATGTAAGGGAGAACCTCCCAAGTGGCTTAGGCAGTAGGAATACCTGTTGGGGTGAGTACAGCTCGCACTGATGTCCCTGTTCCTCCAGGTGACCAGAGGCACCTGTCCCTATGGCCCCTGGCGCGGGTCCTGGGAATGTGGGAGGGGCTGGGGGATAAGCATCTCCTGGGTGCTCAATCAGGGCAGTGTGTGCTGATTGGAGTCTGGGGGTAGCTGGCCATTGCAGGGGCTACCAGAAGATGGGGGCAGGAATAGGAACCCTGGCAGAAGAGCAGCCATCTCACCGCTTCTCCATGGGACGCTGGGGCCGGTGCAGGGTGCTAGATGAGGGGAGGAGCAAGCACTTCCTTACGCAGGAGCTGGTTGCTTCAGCACCCTTAAAGATCTTTTAGGGCCCCAATTGAGAATCACTGAATGGGACGGACTTGTATCCAAGTGACTGCAACAGGTTGAAATTCCCACTGTCAGCTTTATTACTTGAACAAAGGAAATCATTGCCATGGTGAAATTCCATGGCACCTCTGTTCATTTCTGATGGCACACTTTTGTGCTGTGCCACGCTGGTTGGGAAACACTGGTGTAGCTCCAGCTACCATATAGCATTATTTAATCCTTTCCCCCTTTTATAAAGCTTGATAGTTCCTTGTTGTTAAAATAACTACAACCTGTATTATGCTCTTTAAGTCTCTCCTTTAATTTTGAACTTGGATTTCCATACTTGTCTTGGGTTTTTAGAAAGTGCTGGTTTTTGTTTTTTATTTTTGTTTTACAGTATTGCTTGTGCTTTGATTATATTGGTGGGAATCCTGTTAAATAGATGAGAATGCTACATTATTTTAGCAAGAACAATTTAAATACCAGAAGCATTTCCGAAACAATTTGAGATTTCTTCCAGCATTGGTTCAGTCATGTACAGCTACTGATGTCTCAATAGTGACATCTTTGAATGTGCCAGAGGGAAGCCAGTCATCCTGTGTGCATCGTGTCATTGTGACAGGATGCTATATGTAAGATTTTCCTGGCCAAATATATTTAGGGTCTTGACCAAAAGTCTTTTAAAAAGGGCAACATTAATATTGGTTAAGGACTATTTTGTTATGCAGTTCTGTCTTTTCCATGTTTTGTTGATACTAACCATAGTGCTATGCAGTAATTATTTGTAACTATTGCTCTCTCTGTCTTGCACAAGATACGGGTTTATAAGCATCCTGTCACATGATGGGAAGAATTTGTTTCCAAGGGATTCCTGTTGACAGCAGTTTTTAGAAGTATCTAGCAAAGCCATTCTGTGCTGCTGTTTTTTATAAGTCGGTGGTACTCTGTAGCACCCAAAAGTCCTTAACAAGATTGGGTCTTTGTATGATGCTCTGTTGTACCACTGGAAAATGTGATGTGTGCCTTGGAGAGCTCGCTTAAACTACTGCGTGAAAGGGTTCACAGTAGTTATCAGTGTTTGTTCACAGCTTATTTTTCTTTGCTTCCTTTTTTATAAGGAATCTGTCCTCCACTTCAAAATGCCATTTTAAAAAGGGGCTGTTTGACATAGAACAATAACTTGAGACTTATGTTTTACTATAATAAAATCTATTTTATGACAAATGATGAAGTCACCATCCTTTTGCTGTCAAGGGAGAGTTACCATCGATGTTATTAGGACTGGCTTTTGGCTTGTAATGTCTTATTTCTTCAAAATCATCTACCTACATGGTTTTTTTACCCGCGCTTTGTTTCCTTGTGCTCCACACCTGCCCTAGTTGTGCCTGGGCACTGCATTCAAAGTTTCAAGACTTTTTGTTATTTTCCCCCACATTTCTTTGGTAATTATGCCTGCAAACAAATATAGATGCCTTTTCAGATTGGTGTACCTGCCATAAAACTGTATGGTTTACTTAGTGATCCTTCTCATACACTGCTACAAGAAGACTGTTCAGTATCGAGTTTTTATGCCCAGGACATGGTTGAAGACCTTTTCATTGATGTCACTAATGTTTTGTTGGCACGGTGGATTGATTTTTAAATCAAGGCGATTTTAAATCATTGATTTAAATCACCAAGGGAAAACCCTGATTTAAATCTTTGATTTTTTTAAATCAAGTTTCCCAATGATACTTCACATATTTCTTAAAGGTGCAAATCTGATCACTAAAACACATTAATTTACGACTCAATACAGCATTTTACAACATCTGTCCTTAAACTTTTTTTAGTTTTCAGGTTTGATTAGCTCTAACAGACAAGTCATCACAACACTAAACGTACGCTGTCCTTAAAACTTCTACAACTAGATCTCATTTTCCGCACTCCCACTGTCATTTTTATTCATAGACTGAAACAAATACAAGTTTTCCTGCTTTTTCAACTCCCAGTTGATTTCTTAGCTTTGAGTGAATAATACCAAGCGATACCAAACTATGTTTGATTGGTAGGTAAGTCAATGTATGTGAGTGTGACAGAGCCATTAGCTGATTTTTATTGGACTGTAAGTGTAGGCTTAGCATGTTTGTGATGAGATTTAATTGTAACTGTTATTTTTTAGACGAGAGAGAGATTTAATATTTTATTGATTATTTTAAAAAAACAACCCCACCCGATTTTAAATAACGTGATTATTTATTTATTTAAATTATTGATTCTTATTCACTTTGTTTGTTGGTAATTTGTATAAAAACAAGGCTTTTTCTTAAGAACTGGTTTGGGCTGATAGTTGTAAAGAAAGCAAAATTACTTGTTCCAGCCTAGCTCAGCACAGTGGAGGCTTGTAGAACTGAGCAAGAGGAGAATACTAAGCCTGTGCTTGGGAACGGGGGTAAACGAACAGAGTAACAGTTGCATAAAGGGAGATGATACTTCATCTGTCCTGTTAATATAAACATGTATTAAGTAATTTTGCTAATATTCAAAAATATACAACTCGAGCCTTGATAGGAATGCACCCTACAGATAGGCAGAAGGAAGAACATGGTAGTACCTCGATCTAACTGATTCAGAAAGGCATCTGCTTTTCCTGCTTTGTCAGATGCTGTGATTTGGAGACCTCTGCTAGTTCCCATGCCTCTCTGAACCAGTTAGTCTCTGAGGTGCTCTTTTGCCCTACTTTGTCTGACTTCAGACCATACACTATGCTGTACACTATAGATAGTGAATGTTTATAGTGGCTCACATTTGTGTTTATTTTAACGGTAAGAATTTAACTTTTATCCTTTGTTGTTTCAGTGACTCCCTCACCATTTCTGAATGAATCAGACCGTTTGACTCCTCTACCAGTAACTAAGTATAAATATCCTGATTTGCCTATAAGCAAATGTAAAGAAGAGGTAAATTTACTGGCTAATCAAACTTTTGCTGCTCATAGACTAAAGTTGCTGACTGCTTTTTTCTAAAAGTAAATTTCTACCGATAATCTAATCTGCAGTGAATTTAATTTACAGTCTTCCTAACAGTATTAAAAATACATTTTTCTTTTATTACCGCATATGTATGCACAAAAATAGAAATGGATGACAATATTTTGCCATTTCAAATGAACTCTTTAGAAGTTTTAAATAAGGAAATTATTACAGGCATTTAATACTGTTAAAACAATTGCTTGAAATTTTGTAATATTTTAAAAATATTTTTGTGGTCTTATGAACTTCCTTAATTTTTTTTTTTTTTTAATTTCAGATAGTCTCATTGATAGAAAGCAATTCAGTTGTAATTGTTCTTGGAGCAACTGGTAGTGGTAAAAGTACACAACTTCCACAGTATATTTTGGATTATTACGCTCATCGGTCTTCCTACTGCAACATTGTTGTTACCCAACCTCGAAAAATTGGTGCCAGTAGCATTGCTAGATGGATTAGCAGAGAACGATCGTGGACACTAGGTGGATTTGTAGGCTATCAGGTACAGTGATGGTTCAAACTGTATGTGGTTTGGAAGTCAGGACAAAATTATTCTAGATAAAAGAAGACTTCTTCACCTTCCTAAACTGTTCTTTCTTCATTCAGAATTTAGTTTTCTTACGAGATAGCTCTTCTTCCTTCTCTTCAGTTCTTGATGCCACCTTTCTGCCTGCAGTTCACTTGTGCAATCTCTCTTGGACTATAATACTGATTCTTTTCTAAAGAATGTTCAGGCATAGGCAGGAATAGTGGGAGTACTGTAATGAAGAACTCCAGTAAAAAACAGGTAACATATGGATTTTTTTCTATAATGCTGAGCATATTGCTTGTGCTTAATTATACAAATTCCACCAGGCAGGAGTCTTTCCCTGTTTCTGTCCAAACATGTAAGCAACTGTTAGTAACATCCTGTTCATCAGCTACTCCTGAACACGTGGACTCTTCCTTCTAAGTGTACTCCCAGGCCTTTCTTTCCTACCATTGACTGCTTCACTGTCTGTTTCTGCTTCACATGATTATAACCTCTGTATGTATGGGAGAGTGTCACACATCTACATTTTCTTTAGACTTATGAAATCTTCAGGTAGATGTCATATGTGGCTAGCGGTGATATATTTGGATTAACTGTTTTGTTTCTTCTCCCCCCCAATATGTTTAGGTTAGTTTAGAGAAAGTAGCAACAAAGGATACAAGATTAATTTACATGACAACCGGAGTACTCCTTCAGAAAATAGTTGGTGCCAAAAGCCTTACAGAATTCACACACATCTTCATAGATGAAGTGAGTTAGCAAAGTTAAAACTTTTTCTGCTTTTATCATAGTTGTTTCTACTTGGAGAACCTGCTGAATTCCATGTGAGCCCTGCCTTGATAAAGTCTGGAAGAGTTTTCATTTAATTAGTACATTATGGTTACCAGGCCTAGAAATTCTGATCGCAGTTCTAGAGGGCCTTTTTGGATGGAGGAGGTACAGTTTTGAATACACATTTTGAATTGAAAGTTTTTTGAGGTGGTACCTCACTCCTTTAGATAGTGATTGTGTGAAGCTGTCAGAATCCAAGAAGTAAGGGTTTCTACCTCTTTGCTAGTAAGGCATTTCTTAGTGTATGATTGTTGGCCTGGGCCCTGGACTGTACTGGGTCTAATTTGAGTCTCCAGTGAACCTTGGTTGGAGCCAACAATCAGCTGATTGTCTCTGCTCCATGTTCAATTTTAAGGCACCATACAAACCAGCCATAAAAATGTTCTACATTGTAGAACATTCCACAAATATGTAGAATGTTTATATGGCTCATTTGCCATTTTATGGTGTATGTGTACCACCCTTGCCTTTTATGCTGTGACTAACGAATTGCCCATCAGGAATGATGGATGAATTTCAAATAACCAAAACAAACAGATTTTACTTTTTATATCCATTAAGTAAATATTTATAAAACTTAAATAAAATAGGCTGAACATTTGAAGATACCAATCCTTTCCTGCACTTGCTCTCGTCCAGCAGACTGCAGGCACATCTGCTTGTGCTGCTGCCTGGCCGCTGCCCATGCACCTTTTTGGGCAAGGGCAGGCAAGCTTTGCACCTCGCAACAGCTGCCCATGCCCCAAGGCTTCCTCCACACCACCCCGGGGCACCACCTTCCCTGCTTGGGGCTTGGGACAGGGCCTCTGTTGCTTGCCTGCTGCCTCACGCCTCTGCCAAACTCCCGCTTTTCCTCATCTGGTTCCTCCCTCTGCCTTCCCTGCTGTGCCAGACTCCCAGCACCCTGCAGGGAGGAGCTCAGTAGAAACAGCCCTGGCCCCTGACTTTTTTCCCAGTTCTGGAAGTTGGGATCATCCTGACATCACTAAACAAATACTAAGGTTTAGCAAAGAAATTTCTCTGAAGACACAAATGTTCCATCTCTTACAGTTTTTAAGCTATTTGCATTTAAAGAGCATTACGAACAGACAGACAGACTAAGCCCTATATGTATATGTCGATTTAACATGTTAATTGTGGCATAAATGCAACGTGCACAGGGGGCCTAAGAAATGGAAAGGAAATGGAAGTTTAACTTGTATCCCACAGGCTTCCAGCTATTGCTGCCTCCCTCAGTTGTCTGTTCCTGTGGCTGCTGTCACTACATCCCACCCTGGTCCCTCCCTCCTCCAGCTGTTGCATCCTAGCAGCCCACAGGAGAGGCAGTGATAGGGTAGTGCCTCAGAAGTTAGGCCAGGCTGGCCTGAACCAGGGGTGTCCAACCGTCACCCTTGGGCTGCATGCAGTCCTTGAGGGGTTAACATATGGCCCCTGGGCTCCCCCCTGGCTACTGCCTCTGTTGATCTGGCTACAGGGGGTAGGGCAGCATGGCCTGGCACAGGCTATTGTACAGCAGTGGAGCTAGCAGCCTGGAGTGCCCGTATGACATGGAGCCCACAAAGAGCTAAAGGTGAGGCAGGTTGCTGCCCTGTGTGGGGGCATGCCTGTCCGCATGTGCGTGTGGTGCAGCAAGGAGGGTGAGCAACTACTTGCACTTATATATGCAGGGCATGCAGTGTGGGGGAGGCCCATTGCCCCTGCAGCGTGTGGCTCACTCTGGTGTGTGGCCCATGGAGCATGTGGCCCCTGGCTACTTTGAAGTCAGCCAGTTGTGGCTTAGCTAGAGGTGGCCAACCTGTGGTACTCTTTCCATAAATGGCATGGGCCACCTGTCCTTTGGGTATGCAACGTATCAGGGAGGGAGCAGGAAACAGCAGCAGATTGAGGAGGGACCAGAAACCAGAGCAACAAATCAGGCAGGAAGCAGAGCAACAGATTGGGCAGGATAAGGGGTTCCAAGTGATACTTTGGAAGGATGCAGAGCTTACCTTGTGTCAAGATTGCTAGGAAGGTTGGCAGCAACTGGCCTAGATAATCATAAATGTTCTTTTATCTTTATATGACTTTACTCTGTGCTCCTAATATTCTTGTCACTTCGTTCTGATACTGCCATTTCCCCCCCACGCTTCAGCCCATTTCTGCTATGTTCCTTAAATTAAGGAGCCTAGAATGGTACACCAGTGCTTTATATTATTTTTGTTATTCTATATTGGGGGTGCGTGCAGAATGCAGCCCATGAATCTCTGTGCTGGTTTAATCTCCAGTGATGAGGGTTGAGTGGTGGCATTAACTCTTTGGCTGCTGGTGCTGACTGCCTCTGAAGTTACAGTGAGATGCCTCGTGGGCTGGATCCAGCAGTGGGTCATCCAGTCCACAAGAAGCCCCGTGGTTTGGATCCAGAGGATAGGACCACATGAGTTGGACACTTTTGCTCTGCTCTGTTCCATTTCTTATGCATCCTGCTACCTTGTTGTCTTTTTTTGACTGCTGCTGTACATTGAGCAGAAAGGGCTTCACTGAACTGTCAAAAGTGATGCTCAAGTCTCTTCCCTTAAATTGATACAGTTAATATAGAGCTTCATTATGGGGGAGTATTAGTGCAGATTTTTTGTATTGGTCTAGATTGAATTCCAATTCCTATGCTACCCTTTCACCCAGCAAGAAGCAGTGCAGCTAAATAGCCTCAAACACATACTCTGCCTCTAAGGGTAGCTTAATGCAATTCCCATTTGACAGTACCAAACATGGATAAAGCCCCTTAACAAGACTACATCATAGTCTTTCTGCCTTCAGCGGTTACAGGTCAGATTACAGATGTCATGAGCTCTAAAGCCTTACAGAATAGATTGATGATCATTTAATCTTAGGTACCAGTATTTATATTTTGATGATGTCCAGGGGCCATGAAGAGGAGGGGAGGCCTGTTAACCTAGCAGAGAAAAATGTATGTACAGTCCCTGCCTAAAATGTTTACAGTGAGCCACCAGCACAGTTGACTAACTTGTTTTCTGTAACAGTACAGGCATTATGGTTCAGGCTGGTGGCTAGTAACTGCTATCGTCACCTTTTATTCTGCAGTGTTCATTGTTTGTATAAAATCCTAAACAGATTGTCAGAACTACTGTATTGAGGTATAAAGCTTGCTTAATTTATTGACTTAACATGTATTAGAAAAGACCTGTTGTCTGCTATGGAAAGCTTACAATCAGAATTTGAAAAATATGTGAAGTTAACCAACAGGAAGAGGTTAGACAAAGAGGGATGGGGGTTAAAATAAATGAATTGTGTTATGCTGCTTCTTTAAGGTGCATGAACGTACGGAAGAAATGGATTTCTTGCTATTGGTAGTCCGTAAACTGTTGCGTACAAATTCAAGATTTGTGAAGGTAAGTTTTAAACTGCTTTCCCCTCTTCTTTTGTAAAAGAATAAGTTGAAGACCAGCTTTGTTATCATTTTGCACCTGAATATGGCTTTGAGAGCCAATTTGAACATGGTGACTCATTGTAAGCCAGAAAATTCCATAGTACTCCAGTCCTGTTAAATTAGGAAGCTAAAGGGCATTTTTCTGTGACCAGTATAATGTGTTCTGAGAGCCTTTTTTTCCCTTGGTGTTAAGATGCATTAATTTCTAAGATATATGCTTAGGGCTACAGAATATACAAGATGATTACTTGGCTGAAATTACATGTGGATGTTGAGGGTCATGATTCTCCTTGACTAAATTTGATGATGTTAATGCACAAATACTTTTTTTTTAAATGGAGCAAAAGTCTCAAGAAAAACAGCAGAGATATAAATAATATATTCCAGAAAATGAACACATATGCTAATACAGCATTATGTTTAAGATTTTCTGTGTTCATATGAGTAAATAGTTTTGCTTCTGTGCTCTAACATTTTTTTTCAATTGCAGTAGGCAGGGTCTTGATATGAAAAGTTCACATGGGTGTCTGCAGTCCTAAAAGTGACTTGATTTTCATGGTGGGCTGAAATAAACAGGTTGGCTTTGGAAACCTATTACATTTGAGTGCAGCTCTGTTCTAGGTAGCGGCCACCTTAAGGTGGATTTGACTTTAAAGAGGTATCTTTAGATAGTTACTTTAACTAATGCAAATCATTGTATTCAAAACTTATTTATGTACAAGTGCAAAAGAATCTCACTGAAGCACATTTCTGTGATCTAGAGTTGGTAGTAATCAGCTGTCAGTGTGTTTACAAGTATATAGTTGAATTTTTTTAACGGCCTAATACAAACAGTTGTACCCTACTACTTCACAGTTTTCTTGATTTCAGAGAAGGTAATATATAACCCTCCACCTGTAAGTCCTGTTGCAGCAGGGAAAACTCAGTCAAGCTCTTCCAGTTCATTACTAGATTCCAAAGAGTGGTCTCTCTCATTAGATAGTTTTTTCGTTGCCTGGAGCTGGGAACACTTTGCCTAAAATCTCAATATCATTTGTTTCCAGTAAAAGGTTGATGACTCTGAATTCCCTAAACAGCATTAACATTGTTTTTCAAGTCTGCTTTTGAATGTGGCTCCATCTAGCCATAGCATACTAAAAGCAGCACAGTTTGTTCTCCTGGATCCTGAATAGTTTGCTTTTTACTTCATGCTTCCTATACTTGCAGTGCCCGCTGAGACAAAATTGCCTCTACTTTTCTCAGTATCCATGCTATTATAAGTGCATGCTTCACTTACAGGAAAGTGAAAGTACTGTTAAAAGTGCATCAGTCTTATTCTTGGAGTTCCAGAAAGATTCTCAGTATCTACCACCACATGTTTCTGTACGTCAAACCTGATTTTAAATGTTTGGGATTTGGAATCGTTGATGACATCTTACCTCATTTGTATCCTTGTTTGCAGCTGCTTCTTCAAAATGGCAGAGGTCTCCATTATCTTTCGTGGGTATCTTTCAGCTTAGGGGTTGTCTGTCTTGGGGTTTTTTTTTTGTCTAGGCCTGGAAAGCTATCACTATTAATTGCTGGGTTTTAGAGACAATCCAAAGTGAATATGCATTTCTGTTTGAATCCATGCTAACATCTCCACCCCTTCTGTCACTTTTCAAAAATCAGCCTTCTGAAGCATGCACTCTTAAAAGTTATAAAGCTTTCTGTTTGCGGAGGGCTACAGAAAAGATAGCATATTTTGAGAATGGTACCCTTTTTCTCTGGCAGTCTGAAACTCAGTAGTGTAAGACCAAAAGTGTGTGGGGGGAGAGAGGTTCTTTAGAATAAATTGTGATCAGATTTTATGCGATCTTTCTAAGAAACTTTTTCCTTGTTAGTATTCTCAGGAGTGGGAGTGTTAACTCTCTAAGAGACAGGTTTATTTCAGAGAATAATTTTAAGGCATACTCTTATTTTATTTATTTATTTATTTATTTTTGCAAGAGCCTATGGCTGGAAGCATATAGCAAGATGATTTTATCTCCATCTGGTTCTGATATTTTGAAGGCCAGTCTAGGTTTGGAGTCAGTAGTTTTGCTTTAGTAAAAACTTGAGGCAATTCTAATTTGGCAAGATACCATCCAGGGATTCCAGTAATGTTTTAAGTTTCCATACAGCATGAGAAAACCAATACTTTGTGATGCCCCCCTGCTCATGTTTGACAGTGCTATCTACATTTTCCCAGCATGATTGTATCTCCCCTTGAGGTAGTAATCCACCTTTATAAGACAGCTTCTACAAAATTAATAGAGAATGAGTTTTAACCTTTCCTCTCTGCTTCAATCTGTTCTGCAGCATACCTCAAACTTTGGCTGGACACATGCTTGGATCACTTAGCTCTGGAGTACAGAGAGACATTAAGAGTACATGTTACTATGCGCCTTTTAAAGCTGATTCTCAAGATCATCCATCCCTCTTTCCAGAGGAAATTATTAATGAGTATCAGGAAATCACTTTGTACAGTAAATTTATTATCAAAATTGCCAGGTGAATTTGCTCTTTTTGCTATGCTAAGAAAAATTTACCTTCTAGAAGTGGGTTTCAGCAACTGACTACGCTGGCACATCTGATCATTAAAGACATAGTAGCAGCCGGCTCCGATTTCAAGGGCTAGGACCAAAATAAGAATTCAGTGGCAGAATCCTTGCTTTTATTTGTAACCAGGAACAGAAGCAGTTCTCCCAGTTGTGTTAGAGGGCAGATTGGTATTATGGCCTGAAAAAGAAAAGGATCATTTCATATGCCTTTCTTTTCCAAAACACTTGTGGAAAAGCATGTTGAATATGGTCAGATCTCATCTCAAAGATGAGCCCATCATTCTTGGGAATGAGACCTGATAACCTTGGTACAGAGTCCTTTTTTTGCTTTCCCGTGTCAATTTCTGAGAACAGGTTGGATGTTGGATGCAGTACCAAAATGAAGAAACTCTGTTACAGAGATGTTACTTGCAAGTCAACAATATACTACTGCAAAACATCAGACTTTCTGTTGGGCATTATTGTTTCTTCTCATCTCTGCTGCTCCTGCATTGGTTTTCATAGCATCTCACATCCATGTTAGATGTTTGGTGAAGACCATTCTTTCTTAGGGTGCCCTATGTGTTATGTGTTTATTTCAAGGGATGAAACAGGTTAAAGGCCCTCTTGCTGCCAGAAGCTCTCGCTGTGAATTGGTTTGTATGAGATATTACTAAGGCATCTAAACCTGATGAAAAAAATTGCATCTGATCTGGATGTTTCTGGGCCTAAGAAAAAGGGAGCTACGCAAATGGCTTAGTCTGCCGTGGGATAATGTTCCTGGCTTGCTGTATGTTTGATTCCTAAACTGGTGGGTCAGACCCTGAAGTCCTCGTAATCTCTGGTGTCAAACTCTGAATTAAGAGTCAAATCACTAGAGAAACTATTGGTGTTTAAAAAGTTGATCAGAGTCATAATAGCTCCTGTTAACTGAACCAAGTTATGTTCACAGTTCTCAGTATTGTCTAATATGGAGCTGATCCAGTTGGATCCTAAACCAATGATCTCAATTCAGATGAGAGAATTCTCCTCAAAACTTGTCTGCTGGTTCCAGAGATCATGTCAAACTGAAGAGAGGTCAAACTCCTGGCAATGGGATTTTTTTTTATTGCCAATGTACATGTTTCAGCTGTTAGTGTGATAGGTCAAGCACGCTCTTGGGGGACTCAAATTGGTAAATTGAATATTCTTGCAGGGAAGATGATCTCTGGATATGTCACATATAGAACATCCTACCCTTCAAAGTACAGAGATCCCAGAGCTTGGTCATTGTTATGTCTGGCAAGTACTGTCCTGATCTTGGGTGGCCTTTCAGGGCATTTCAGAGACATTCTCCAGTTTCACTGGTAAGGGAAAGCCCCCACCATGTCTAGGGAGCAGGAAAGGCTAGCTTATTCAGGCTAACACCTGGCACTTTATTGGAGGAAAAAAAGGGAGCCTGTGTGACTATAACTGAATGAGAGAAATGGAAGCAGACAAGAGAATTGTATCAAGAATGTTTCAGGTGCTTTTGGCTTCCTTTCCTTTTGAGGGTTGTTTTAAATTCAGGAACTTTTGTGCATATTATGGCACTGATATTGAAGGTTCTGTCAGTCACGTTAGAAGAAACCTCTCATTTTTGTCTTTGATATTGGTTGCCTCATCAAAACATAGGACATCTACACTACCTCTGCCCGGGACCAGGGAGCTCTGTATGGATTCACCTGCTCTGTCACCTCCTGAAATAGAAGTAATGTAGCCACCCTATTGGCACGTGCCCAGCACTGTACTAAGTTCTTTTGAGAGAGTCAATTTTAGATTGACTAATACAGTCAGTGAAAATGCCTGGGTCTTCCTTGAAGTTGTTGGATATTTTTTGTATTGTTTTACAAGTTTGTATCATTTATCATGTAAAGGGGTTGTATTCTTTTGTGCTTGTCCAGTGCATGACTGGACCATTGCTACCAATACCACATCAGTGTGCACCCTCTCACAGAGTAAACAGATGAAGGCAGTTCATAGAAAAAATGTTTTTTTTTTCCTCTTTTTGCTTGTCATATGAGCACTGAATTACTAGGCAGCGAGGTTGTGGTTTCAGTTTTTTGGGGTACCATTTTTGGGAGATTTCCACACTTAGCAAAAGTGTTCGCCTACTGGTTTAATAACACATGGCAAAACAAATGTTCATTCAGAGCCTCTTGATTTTTTTGAGATTCATGTAAAGAAGTTGCATCTGCTGTCATGCTTTCTGTAGGCATGTAGAAATAACCTGAAGGTTAGCTTATGTCATTTGGCTTTGCTTCATTAACCATAAACCAAGTGGAGATAACAAGAAGGCAGCTTAGTTCTGTCCCAGCACACCACTGAAGCAGGAAGGAAGTACCATATGCTTTGATTCCTGTGCAATCAACAACTAAGGAAAAGAACAGATTAAAAAAGATTAGACTTATAGCGTTAACTCCACTTAGTGTAGTGAGACATTGTGGATTATTGCTAATGGTTCACTTATACATGTTCTTTTTAACAGGTAATCCTGATGTCTGCTACCATCAACTGTATGGAATTTACTGAGTACTTTTCAGTTCCTATTCGGGGCAGACTGAGTCCAGCCTGTGTGTTTAAGGTAGAAGGGAAACCCCATGCCATTGAAGAATACTATCTCGATGATCTGAAGCACATTACTCGTGGCCAGGTGAGGTATACTACATGCTAATTATTTTGGTGCAACACAACAGGATTAGAGGGGAAAAAAGGCAACCCCCCCTGAAAAACCCATTAATGATGAATTTGGTAAAGTTAACAATGTCTCTGAAATGCTAGGGTGTAACAGGAGGTTGCCCCAAGTCATTAGGTTTACCAAGTCATTAGGTTTTTATCAAGCAGGAAATGCAGTGAAAAAATCTGAGTTACAGGTAGCATAACCAATCCAGCTCTGATCACTTCTGTGCCGTTCATTGTGGCCTTTCTTCTGGGGATTTGGAACAGTGGCTGCTTTTATCTTGGTATCTCTCTACATCTGTCTGTTCTTACTTTCTCTTTTTTTCTTTACAGTGGTTCTCTTCACCTCTGCTTATTATGGGTCCAAGCTTTTCCTCCACTCCTTGTGACCTTGTGTGTATCATCATAGGAACGTAGGGCTGGAAGAGACCTCATGAATTTATCTAGTCCAGTCCTCTGCTCAAGGCAGGATTATTCTTGACTGAACCATCCCAGCAAAGTCTCTGTTGAACTTGCTTTTGAAAATTTTCAGGGTTGGAGATTCCACAGCTTCTCTAGGCAGCGTGTTCCAATTTTTGACTCGCCCTCCTAGTCAGAAAGTTCTTCCTAATCTCCAAACTAAATTTTCTTTGCTACAGCTTAAGTCCATTGCTCCTAGTCCTGCTTGCTACAGCCACAGAGAAAAGCCCAGAGGATCTCCATCCTTTCTGTAATTGCCTTTCAGTCATTTGAAGACTGTTATCAAATCCCTCCTTAGTCTTATCGTCTCCAGACTGAATAACCCTGGATCTTTCAGCGCTTCCTCATAACAAGGTGTGCTTCCCAGACCTCTAATAATTTTTGTTGCTATCTTCTGGATGCTTTTCAGTCTGAAACTTGCTTGTTGGAGGCTCAAAATAAAGTTATAACGTCCTCGGCATTGAAACCCTAGGGCCTTGTGCTTCTCTTGGACTTGGAGTTTTGAGGATCATTCTTCAAGACCTTGAGGATCCTGTTCTCTGGAGGTGATCCTGCATTGGAGTTTGAAACAACCCAGCCCAGGGAACTTGCAGGCTCAACTCTCCAGTCTTCCTCGTCGCTCCCATCTACATTTAGTTACATCCTCCGCCAACCCCCCTCACTGCAGCATGGAAGCACTTTCCACTTAATAGCAAAGTCCATCGTGTACTTAATGGAATCTGTAGTTCATCTCCCTTTCTGAGCTAAGGAGAGGGCAGAATGTTTGACTAAATGGTCATATCAACTTAAATAAAGACTTTCTGTTTGTACCTTAATTCAGTTTCTTGAGGAAAGGAAAAGTGAGGGACTATAGACAACACGTTTCTTCATGTTTTTGCAAGAAGTAGCTGAGATCTAAAACAGCTGACAGGATCATATCCAGCAAGAAGGCCTCTAGCCATCCAGGTTTGGAAGCAACCTGATTCCAAAGTTTGGTTAATGGGTTTTTTTCGTCTGGGATTGGAACAAGGAATGGCTTTCCTGTACTCCCCCAGATTTTTGAGAAAAGTTTGATGCTGCTTGTTTGGCACCTGATCTCTGGAACGTACTTCCTTGCAAACTGTCTTGCAAGCTGGAATTTCTATTGCAAGGGGTAATAATTTTTTTTCAGTTCTGTGTACCTGGTTTTAACTACCTAAGCTTGAGCAAAAAAATGGAATCTTAACTAGATTTCGCCAAGGTGTCACTAGGACCAAAATCCTGTTTCACCTAAAAGTGCCTAAATGTAGCCACATAAGGCTTGTCTTTGGGATGCTTGGCAGGGATCTTCTGTGACCATGTTCACTCCATGGCCTGCCTCTTCTGCTTGAGTAGATATGTAATTGTGTTTAAGTCCCTGAAAGTATGGGCAGACCTGGATTGCTAGGAGGCAGGCAGAGGAGGACCCTTCCAAATCTTAACTCAGAACCAAGTGGCCTTGTTCTTTTTGATGATATATAGAACAGCAGTTGATGAGATTACGAAGTGCACTTCTGTGTTTGGGTGTGGGCTGGGGCTAAACTCCTATTGCAGCGATTCTCAACCAGGGTTTGTGCTAGATCCTCTTGAAGGGTGCCACAAGGTGCAAGGAGTTAAGCACGTAAGTGTAGTCTCAAGCCCTTCCCTGCCTGAACCCCCCAACCCATACTGTCTGGCTCTCCTGCAAGGAGGTATAAGCACTATAGTAAGTAAATTAGCTTTGCAAATGTGATGTTGCCCAATTCATAACTCATATGGGGCACCTTGAGTCTAAAAGGTTGAGAACCACTGCTCTATTTTATGGAGTTCATGGAAAGGTTTTCCTTTGATTGGGAGTTCCAGAATGTACTGATGTGGGAGAAGCATTGTTGACCACAAGAAAAGTGAGTGCTGTTGTTGTTTTTTTTTGTTTTTTGGATGTAATGATGCTAAAATGGCACAAGCTCTTGTAGCATGTCATTTCCCCACACGCCCATATCCCAATGTGTTGCTCTCATTCCATCACTTAAAAATTAAGTTCTGTAAGATGTAGTATGCCTCTCTTGTCTTGTAAAGTTGCTGTCATGTCTTTAGAGCTGTAGAAATTAAATATTGGATGGAAACTTAAACTAGTTAGAAGTTTGCATTGTGCTTTCAAGCTTTTTTAAACTACTGTGGGGAAAAATGTGAATGTCTTGTTTCACAGTATTGCAGTTTGAGTGATATAGCTTGAGATAAAAAATTAAGGACAAATATGGACTGGTAGACTGTTTGGAGTAAATAGAAAGCTTTTGTTTATACTTCAGTACAGTAATAGCTATTCTAAAAATAATTAGGACGTAGAAATAATCAATTAACTAACCTTGATAATTGATATAATGCCTACTAGCTGACACAACGAAGAGACAGTTCATTTGAAATAACTAGCATCTGAGTCCATCACAGTTTCTACAAAATGGAAGTGTCCCGGGACGCAAGAGTACTTACCGGCGACTCGGAAAACAGCATGTGAGGAGTGGAAGACAGAACCCGTGTGGCTCATCAGCCGCCTGTTTATACAGCTGCAGCTAGCCAGTGACGTCAGTGCTGAATGCCAGCCGGCACAGATAAAAATGGCGGCACACACTGTGGAGCTGGCAGGGAGAGAGAGAGTACAGCCACTGATGTCCCAGCAGCAAAGACAAGTTGGAATACAGGACCAGAAGAGCAGGAACGGCTGGGACAGAAGCAAGGAGGAAGAAGAGGAGCATCTTGGCAGTGCTGCAAATAAGGCGGCAGAGGGATGCCAGGATTGCCTCGGAAGGACGACAGGAGGCACACCTGGAGAGATCCGACCTGAGAGAGAGAGACTGCAAGGAATCCAGGGAGAGTTGCCGCTGGAGGGAACATTGCCACTGGACCAGGAGGTGCCTTAGAGTAGGCAAGGAACGGGGTGCCTAAAGGGATGAGGCAGCCAGTGTCCCGTTGAAGTGCGGGGGGGGCTAGTTAAAGGGACAGTATGTCCGGTTTTGTGTTACAACTTCCTTTTTTCTTTTGATTTTGTCCTACCCCAAGCTCCAAGGGGTATAGGAGGGTAGCGGACCCGCTCTGTAGGCTAGATAGTGTTGGGAGGGGCCCGAGCAGGACCCGGTCAAGGGTCCCAGGAGCGAGACGCCGACCAGCTTGTTACCGCTGCGGAGGAGGTATGAGGCCTGGGTGTAGGGGTGGTGGAGCCCTGTGAGTAACCGCTGGGAGGAACCTTGGGTCAACGAGCACGCCCGATGAATGGCCCCAGACACTGAGGTCATCAAGTCGTGGCAGGCGAGCACGGGGTCAAGGATTCGGGTGGAAGTCACCAGCACAGGCAGAGGCGCGAGCCCAAGAGGTGCGTAACATCGATCACCCGAGCGAGAGCGGCACGAGAGCAACTGGTTGAGGCTTGGTGGCGACAGGAAGTTTAAAAACCACAAAGAAAATGGCATACTGTTGGAGGATTAAAGGAAAATGGATGAATTTGTTAAATTGTTGTCACACATATCTTGATGAACACAGTGATGAGCAAAGAAACTAATTCCTTCATCCATTTATTCTTCTACACCAGAAAAGGCCTACAAGAAGTGCATATAACAATGTCCTGTCAGCATTCATATATTTAGCAGTGACATGTCAGCTCAAATGGACAACGTGGGGAAGATTACATAATATCTGATGCTGTGAAAGATTCTTGATGATAGGTGGCAACAAAAAGAGAACCAAGAAGTTCACTGAGAAGTCTCTTTCTATCAAGTTACATTTATCAAAGCTGTTTCATTTCATATTATAGGCCAGTTGCCACACCTTTCAACCCAAAGTAGGGGAACCATTTTAGATGGGTGTATAAAAAATATTTTCGTTATTTGCTCTGTTGCACATGGCCTTTCATCTTTAATTTTCAAGACGTTCATTTCTTACTACTGTTCTTTTTCCTTGTGGCTAAAACCATTCTTTGCTTAGTAGGAAGGAAAAAACAGGATGGTACAGACGGTTGTATTTATACCCTAAGGCAGTTCCAAAGCACACATAAGATCACTTGATTTTTATACACATAAGAAAAATTGGAAGGGGGTGGGAAAGCTTAAATGTACTGGGCTGTTGCATAACTTTGCAAAAAATTACAGGTTGAAAATTTATCTTCAGGTTGTAGGTTATGAGGCAAATTTTATTAATAGGGATGTTAACAGACACATTCTGTGTAAATTTTACTAATAACCAAATAAAAATGTTGTTATGGCGTGGATATCAAGGCACTGTGATGCAACAGAAATACTGCCATATTAAATCAGAGGTCCATTTATTACACTATAACATTTTGAACAGGAACCATAAACAGATGCTTTGGGGATGTTGATTTAGAAGATTCATATCTTATGTAACTAGATTTGGACTTTAAAGCCTAGCATTAAAATTTGCCATGTATAGTTTTAATAAGGATAAAAAGTTCACTGACTTGCAAGTATTGAAGGTGTGAATAACTTGCTAACATTGAAGGAGTTTTTGCTTTGAAGTAATTTTATGCTGCTA